GAGATGTCATTTTCAATAAGAATGTGATGTACAAAAACATGTCAACATAGAATCAAGTAGCTCTAATACCGAAACTGAAACAAAGGAATTTGCTGAGTTTGAGAAGATTTCTGAAAATGATGTTCAGATCACTCCTAAAAGCAGTTCAAGTAGAACCATATACACCAGAACTGAGACGCTCCTCCAGAATTTCTAAACCAGCCCAACATTATTCACCTTCTTTGCACTACTTGTTGCTGACTGAAAATGGAGAATCAGAGTGCTATGATGAAGCAATGAAAGTGGAGGATTTAGTCAAGTGGGAGTCTTCCATGAAAGATGATATGGACTCGCTTTTGTCAAATCAGACGTGAGAATTAGCTGAATTACCACCAGGCAAGAAAGCGTTACACAACAAGTGGATTTACGTGATCAAAGAAGAGCACGATGGGAGCAAACACTACAAAGCAAGATTGGTTGTCAAAGGCTTTCAACAAAAAGAAGATATTGACTACAATGAAATTTTCTCTCCAGTCGTGAAGCTGTCTACATTCAGACTGGTGTTGAAAATTGTAGCTACATAGAATCTACATCTTGAGCAGTTAGATGTGAAGACAACTTTCCTTCATGGTAATTTGGAGGAAGAAATCTATATGAGGCAACCAGAAGGCTTCATAGAGGCAAACAAGAAAAACCTGGTATGCAGGTTGAAGAAGAGCTTGTATGGTTTAAAACAAGCTCTTAGATAGTGGTACAAAAAGTTCGATAGTTTCATGAGTAACAGTGGTTTTACCAGATGCCAAGCAGATCATTGTTGCTATATCAAGAAGTTCGACAATAGCTTCATTATTTTTATTGTTGTATGTTAATGACATGCTTGTTGCAGGTTCAGACGTGCAAGAGATTATAAACTTGAAGCAAAAATTGTCGAAGCAGTTTGCAATGAAAGGTCTGGGCACTGCAAAGCAGATTCTTGGGATGAGGATTAAGAGAGACACAAAGTCGGGGAATTTGATGTTATCATAGGTTGAGTACATCAACAAAGTACTCTCCAGGTTCAACATGCAATATGCTAAACAAGTAAGTACACCTTTAGGTGTTCATTTTAGACTCTCCACCAAAGACGGAGGAAGAACGTGCACACATGGTGAAGGTGACGTATGCCTCAGCAATTGGAAGTCTGATGTATGCCATGGTTTGTACCAGACTAGATATTGCTCAAGCAGTGGGAGCTGTTAGTAGGTATATGAATAATCCGGGCAAAGTACACTGGGAAGCTGTCAAATGGATCCTCAGATATCTGCGGGGTACTACAAACAAAGCACTTTGTTTCAAAAGTGGAGATACAATACTGACAGACTATGTAGATGCTGATTTAACCGGAAATGTTGACATCAAAAGGAGCACTACATGTTGAATTATGTTTCGATATAACAAATTTAAAAGCAAAATGTTTTTGGACTTTAATTAAATTTATTTAAAGTTTTAAAAAGGTTTCAAAAATAATTCAAAGTCCATTAAATTCAGATTTGAGAAAAAATGCTAAAGGATGTCAAAGTGCATCCATGCACCCCTACAGTGCATCCATGTACCCCTGCAGTGCATCCATGCACCTGCCACTAGTGCATCGATGCACCATGTAGTGCATCTATGCACTCCATTTCGAATGCAATTAGGGCATCGATGCATCCTACTGTGCATCGATGCATCCTAATGTGCATCGATGCATCCTGCTGTACATCGATGCATCCTGCTATGCATCCATACACCAAGGCTGCAACGGCTAGTTTATTTGAATTTAATGAAGGGGTATCGATACACCTTGATAGTGCACCGATGCACCATGTTATGAGCAGCCTTTTTGAGTAGAAAAATCATCCCCAAATGGCTCCAAAACATCCCTAACGGTTATATACGACATTAAACACATTTCAAGCTATAAATACAAGCTAAGGACACTTGAAGAAGTAAAAGAACAACTATTCAAGCAATCAAACACAAGAGAAGAGTTTTTTAATCTTATTTCATCTTTCTCTTGTAAATATTTTGTTCTTATGAGCTTAATCTTGTAAACACCTACCTTAGAGAGGTTTTCTTGTTTACTTATTTTATCATTTTGTAAAAGGGAAAGGTTCTAGCTTATCCCGTGTAAAAGCTAGGGAAAGGTTCTAGTTTAGCCCGGAAAAACTAGGGAGTTGTAAGGTTATCTCTTTATCCTCAAAAGAAAGAACAAATTAGTGAATTTGTTGAAAAATCCTTGGTGATGATCTAAGTTAGTGGACGTAAACTTTGGTTTAGAAAGTCGAACCACTCTAAATCACTGTGCAATTTTTTATCTTTCAATCTCCTTACTCCCCAAACTCAAAAACCGTTCCGACCTCTCTTTGCAAACCGTTTCAGTTATCAAATCGAGCTTCCGAAAATCCCAACAATTGACATCAGAGCCTAACTCGTTAAGAAGATTTAACCACCTTAAGATGATCCTCGAAGAAGCTCTACCAATTTCCGACGCAACCGACAAAGAAATGACTTTTTCCTCCGGTGCTTATTATCTTAAAGAATATCTCATTATGGATTCACAACCGATCATCAAGCCACCCTTTTTCAATGGAGAAAATTATGCACATTGGAAGAATAAGATGATGTACTTTATTTAATCCTACAATCTAGGAGCTTGGAACTCAATCATGGATGGTTACTCTTCTCCACCCGGCAAGTACAACAATTAGAGTAGAGAAGAGCAGAAAAATTTCCAGCTTAACTCTAAGGTTATACATATTCTATTATGTACTTTAGGCCCAAATGAATATGGAAGAATCTCATCTTGTTCCAGTGCCAAAGAGATTTGGGATAAGCTCAAAGTCACTCATGAAGGAACCGACGAAGTGAGGGAATTAAAAAAAGTCTTCTCAACCATAGCTACGAGAACTTCAAGATGAAACCTGATGAAGACATCAAAGCTATGACGGATAGATTTTATGTGATTGTCAACGGTCTCAAGGGATATGGAGAAGTAATCCATAATGAGAAGCTTGTGAGGAAGATGATCTACTCTCTTCCAAAGGAGTGACAATCGAAGAAGACGACCATTATCAAAGCAAGAAACTTAAAGTCTCTCACTCTCGACGAGCTAATTGGTTCCCTTCTCACTCATGAGATGGCGGTGAAAGAAGATGAAGAAAGAGAAGAGAAGAAAAAAAAGAAGATGAAGGAGGTATGCATGTTTGAAAATATTTGCTCAAAAATAAATGATCAAATATTTTGATCAAGAAGGAGCTAGTAACGACTAGTTTATTTGAATTTAATGAATAGGTATCGATGCACCTTGATAGTGCACCGACGCACCATGTTATGGGCAACCTTTTTGAGTAGAAAAATCATCCCCAAAAGGCTCCAAAACATCCCCAACGGTTATATACGACATCAAACACATTCCAAGCTATAAATACAAGCTAAGGACACTTGAATAAGTAAGAGAACAACTATCCAAGCAATCAAACACAAGAGAAGAGTTTTTCAATCTTATTTCATCTTTCTCTTGTAAATATTTTTTTTTGTGAGCTCAATCTTGTAAACTCCTACCTTAGAGAGGTTTTCTTGTTTACTTATTTTATTATTTTGTAAAAGGGAAAGGTTCTAGCTTATCCCGTGTAAAAGCTAGGGAAAAGTTCTAGTTTAGCCCGAAAAAACTAGGGAGTTGTAAGGTTATCTCTTTGTCTTCAAAAGAAAGAACAAATTAGTGAATTTGTTGGAAAATCCTTGGTGAGGAGCTAAGGTAATGGACGTAGACTTTGGTTTAGAAAGTCGAACAACTCTAAATCGTTGTGTAATTTTGTATCTTTCAATCTCCTTACTCCCTAAACTCAAAAATCGTTCCGACCCCTCTTTGCAAACCGTTCCGATTGTAGAATCGAGCTTCCAAAAATCCCAACACTACAAGGTATGTCTATACTCTAGGAGGTACGGAAGTGAGTTGGGTTTCTCAACTACAGAAGATAGTTGCTTTATCCACAACTGAAGCAGAATATGTCAATGTTATAGAAGCCAGCAAGGAGATGGTTTGGCTCCAAAGTTTCTTGGAAGAGTTAGGCAAAAAACAAGAAAACAATGTCTTGTATTGCGATAGTCAAAGTGTTTTCCATCTAGCAAAGAATTCGTCTTTTTATTCCAGGACGAAACACATACAATTATGATATCATTTTATCCAGTCTCTTCTGGAAGATGGGATTTTAAAACTTGAAAAGATTAGTAGAGCTCAAAATCCGGCAGATATGTTGACAAAGACGGTGACCACGGAAAAACTGAAGTTGTGTTCAGTTTCAGTTGGCATGCTAGAGTAACAATACTAGAGAAGCTGTTGCATTGATCGAGGTGTGAAGACAGATTAAAATCAATCTTCAAATGGGAGATTGTTGAAGAAAAGTCAACAAAGGGAGGAAATGGGGGCACCACCCAAATGCATGATTTTCAACAAAATGGGCAATATTTTATTGAAATAAAAAATGAATTAATTATATTTTAGCCACTGCACACTTTAGGATATTTACAAGTTAGTCCTTAAACTTCAACTATAAATACACTAGCCCATTTAGCTTCAAAATTACCCCAAATCATTTCTTTCTCCTAATACTAGAGAACTTTCTTGTGAGTAGTGAGTGTTTTGTAAACACCTGTAAATTTTCTCTGCAGCAGTCCGGAGACGTAGGCATAATTGGTTGAACCCCGTTATCAATTTTGAGTATTATTTTTCCGCTTTTAATTCACATTCTCACTAATCTAGTTATACGAAAATTACTTCATTTCTTGTTTTATTTGCCAACAGTACGCCCGTCCGATGTTTGCTGTTGAAATATGAATATATTCTCTCCCCATTGAGAAATTTGATTCCCTTCCTATATTATTTCATTTCAATCCACCCGCCCACTACCTTTTGCTTTTCTGCCAAATTCGGAATATGTGGTGGAAGAGAATTTCAATATTCCCTCCATGTTCTCATCTCTATTGCATGAATCGAATTCCGTGGTCCTTGTTCCTTTCTTCTCTATCTATAATCAGTAAACTCGATCGCCAATCCACGCTGCAATCGCATGCAACTGCAACCTCAGTTTTATTTGGTATTCTCTCTTTTCTCCTTCTCTGTTCAATTCATTCATTCATTTTTTACGTAAATGGAATTGAAGTTTATTTCATACTGCTCCATTTTCAGCACGATCCAGCGTCAAACTTGAGCTGCAACCTGTTGACTGACTATGGGTAACAGTAACGTGAACGTCGTAAGTCTTCTACTCTTCCGCCGATTTATTATAAATTATAATTACTTTTTGCTTTTGAAAATGACATGTTTTTTTGGGGTACTTACTTAAAGCTATTACATACCATTTCTCTGATGTCACGTTTTGTTGAAATGCAGAACACAGAGGAATGCACTGATATTGGTACGGTGTTCTTTCCCTTCGCATATATGTTGCATTCTCTTTCTGGTATTTGGTTGTTCATCCTGTTATGAAATTATATTCCTGCCGGTCCTGGAAAAGAATGCTTTTTAATACCACATCTCCATTATACAGAGTTTCGTTACACTAATTGAACTTGTAAAAATTAAAATGAAGCAATTTCAACTAAATTTGATAAGCATGCCCTCCATTCAGAGGCATTTGTTTTTGTTCCTTATCTCAAATGGCTTGTAAAGGAAAAAAGAGAAATCCTTTTGGTTTCTAAAGTATGCTTTTGGATTTAATTTCAGGTGCAGTGTTGAGAAATGGATGAGAAGTCCTTTTGCAGGTAAATGTGACAAATGTTGATCATTCTTTTTTATTGGACTGATGTCATTACTCATCTGGGAATGATATTCTCTGTTTCGAAAGTGGAATCTCATAACAAGTAAGGGAAGAATTTTAAAGTTGTTTAATTTGTTGGGAGTCTCACAAATATGACTGGTGGAGAAACTTGGAAAAGAAGGTTCCTGACATTGCAAAATCTGGGTTTACATCTGTATGGTTGCCGCTACCAACTCATTCCTTTTCACCAGAAGGTTAGAGAACATTTTTCATCAAAGCATGAGCTAATTGCTTATCACGTATGCACATGTCTGATCAATATATATATATATAGGGTTAGGATCAACTTATACAATATAAAATCTATGTAAAACTAAAAGAGTTTTACATAGTGTAACAAAATCATATCCCATATATATATATATATATATAGGGTTAGGATCAACTTATACAATATAAAATCTATGTAAAACTAAAAGAGTTTTACATAGTGTAACAAAATCATATCCCATATATATATATATATATATATCCTTTTGTCTTATAACAGGCTATCTTCCACAAAACCTTTATTCACTCAATTCTGAATATGGGTCTGAACAGCTGTTGAAGGCTTTACTCCAGAAGCTAAAGCAGTACAAAGTTAGAGCGATGGCCGACATAGTAATCAATCATCGTATTGGAACTACTAAAGGTAATGGAGGAATGTATAACCGTAATGACGGAATTCTACTCGCGTGGAACGAACATGCTGTCACATCGTGTACTGGTGGATTGGTAACATAACATTCTATATTTGCACCGTCTCTTTGATGCTTTGTAATTGTGGACTTATACTGTAATGTAAGATTTTTTTTACCTCAAATATCTCTTAGGGTAACAGAAGCACAGTAGACAACTTCAATGGGGTTCCAAATATTGATCACAGCCGACGTTTCGTTCGTAAGGACATCATAGGTTGGCTAAAGTGGTTACGCAGTGTCAGCTTTCAAGATTTTCACTTCGATTTTGCAAGGGGGTAAGAACAATGCTGCACTATTAGGTTATTGTAGTCTCTAAAATTCATCTGTTTTCCATCTCAGAACGTTAATGTTGATACAATGCTTCGCTTCAGTTACTCGGCAAAATATGTCAAAGAATATATTGAAGAAGCTAAGCCTATATTTTCTGTTGGGGAATATTGGGATTCCTGCAACTATAACGGATATGGTTAGACTATAACCAAGTTAATGCACTTGATCTGTTTGTCGTATCGAACATCTTCCATAAAAGACTGGTTAAATATGAATGTTGTCGGTATCCGGCATGTTATATCTTATTACATTATATTCACAACCTCTACTGCAGATAGCCATAGACAAAGGATCATTAATTGGATTGATGCCACGGGACAGATTTCAACTGCATTTGACTTCACAATCAAGGGGATTCTTCAGGTATGACAGAAAATATAATATTGCTATTTTTTCCAAGAGAAAGGAACTGCATTTTAGCCTATTGCGGCACCAAATTCTCCTGCTATTTTTGATGCATTTTTTTTTATATTTACTTATTTGTAACTTTGCAGGAGGCTGTAATGGGGCAGGTCTGGCGTCTGCGTGACCCTCAAGGGAAGCCACCAGGTGTAATGGGGTGGTGGCCTTCAAGGGCTCTCACATTTATCGATAACCATGACACAGGCTCAACACAGGTACTGCAAGTTATGGTAAAACTCAGAACCTGCATCTTCCCAATCCGGAATTTACTCACCTGCCAATTGTTTTATTCTTGCAGGCTCATTGGCCTTTCCCCTCAAATCATATTATGGAGGTATGAGTTAAAGTTTGTAGCAATCAACACAAGATGATTTTCAATTTGCATCATAATTTCCCTTGAACTAGTTGCTGTTATATATATATATACACACACACGCTCGCATATTATTGATTCCCTGTGTTCCTTCTTACAGGGATATGCATACATACTTGCACATCCAGGAAAACCAACAGTTTTCTATGATCACTTTTACGATTGGGGTGATATACAACACAACCACTGATTTCCAAGCAAACATTTTTCCGATGAATGCTTTTTTTAAGTTTTGGTACGCATGCATGCAGATGAACATTCGAAGGCGTCAAGATATCCACAGCCTTCATCTGTCAGGATCCTGGAGTCCCAATACAACCTGTATTCTGCAATGATCGGAGACAAAGTACGCATGAAGATTGGGGATGGTTCCTGGTGTCCAACTAGCAGAGAGTGGACACTTGCAACCAGCGGACACCGAATGCAGTGTGGCAAAAGCAATGATTCCTCATCCATCTTTCCTTTCATTGCTGATCCCTTTGGTACTGGGGAATGTGATGCAAGGCATCCCAGTCAGGCATGATGGCTACTCCTTACATTTTACAATATTAAATAAAGTCATCCCATCTCCAAATTTGCTTTGGAAAGTATCATGCCTCAGGAATTAACTACATTTTCCATCAAAAAAATTATAGAGCATCTTTAATTAGTCTTACATTTTGTTCCTGGTGTTGACACATATCTATTCATACACTCAATTTAGAACTTGGAAGTCTTTTTACTTCATTCATTCTCTTCTATTTTTTTTGGCCTTTATATCAGCTTAAAGAACCTATAAGAGCAGTTATAAACAATTGCCAGACAAGTGACTTGAAGGAGCTCCATATATTTTTGCAGTAGTGAGGTTGAAAATTGATTATACAATCAATGAGACATTAGATTATGAAATCAATGGAGGAATTATATAGGCTTGAGAAAACAGCAGGCAATAGAAAATGCCGCTGATTGATAATGATCTATCTAGTTGCTGCAAATGATAAGAAATCCTATTAATAACCAGTTGTCTAGTAAGATGAGAGGCTAAGTCTTTAAGCACGGTAAGGTTCAAATTCTGATGTTGTGAACAAAGAAAATCAGGTTGGAAGTGTCCTCTCATAATGAATCTTTATAATATTCGATCCGAATTATTCAACCAATGAGTCCGAGTCGCATTATGGTTGAGCTGGAAAGAGACACTTATAGCATCAATCATAAAACGATATAAACATGTATATGGTTCGTGTTTTGAAACTAAATACAAAGAAAAATCTTCTTCCCCACCACATTTGCTTCTCGATCTAACACAACATGACGTGATCTTTCTGCAATATTTTATGGGATTGCCCACCTAAAATACCCATTGTCCCATATTCACGACAAATCACTCTCTCTCACGTAACATACACTGCATCAAAATCTCTTAACATCTGCAATTTCTTTATCCATGTTGGCAATCTCAAGAACCTCTTTTCATTTACCATTTTCAATTACCCTTTCTTTTCTTTTTACCTACCCAATTGCAATCATCGCCTTATTTAGCTTTACCCAATGTTTTCCAATTAGAACTCGGCTCCATTTGTGGATAAGCCTGCTACCAGATGTCAGAAGATGAGACAACCAACATTTGCCTACATATACTGCATATTTGTATTATATAATGTAAAGGTACTTGCTAACCATATAAACAAAAAGTATTACAGCAACATGTTCACCAGGAAAAAAGAAGAAGAAGAAGAATGATGAGGAGGTGCATGAGAAAGTATGATAATTGCATGAGAATTAAGAGGTTGTCCGCATGCATCAAAAGTGGGATTGGAGGGCTTAGCTTTGCTTTGTTACAGCCAATAACCATGGATGCATGTCAGAATAGAACTTTCTTCACCACAGTCAGCATCATAATATTTAATTTCAAGAAGAGAAATTAAACAATAAAAAAGGTATATCTAATTTCTTATGACTTAAATATGACTGAATATATAGATGCAAATTAAGAATATCTCCTTATTCTAAAATAATGAGTTGTGAAGATTCAAACAAGAGAGTGATTGCTATATAAGAAGAGATGAAATCTCTTCATAAGAATAATACATAAAACCTAGTAAAGGTTCCTAATGATATTATTAAGCACAATTTAGTTCAAGCCTTGCTTGATATTGTGGCCATTTATAATTTCAAGCTTTGAGCAGTTAAATGTGAAAACTTAAATGAAGAGTGAGGCATGTATCTACATACAATAATCATAGAGTTTTATAGTCGATGTTGATAAAGAGTATGAAATTCGGTTTGAATAAAAAAAGTTAATGCAAGTTTTCTTTCAATTTAAGTTCCTATCCCTATAAATATATATTACAAATTAATGATTAAAGGTGAATTTATTTACCCTAAGATCTTATATAGTCGTAATTCGGCAAAACTTTCGAGATAATGTTCTGGAAAAAATGAATTCACGAGATAAAGCACTCCCAAGATTAATTGCTCAAATAAGATGAAATTCACAGTGTTGGCCGTAGGTCGCCATGCCTTCCGGGCGACCTACTAGGTCGCCATGTCTTCCCGACGAGCTACAAGAGATTGCATGTGCCATGCACGTCCCAACACGCTGGGCATTCGAGGCCATCCGAAAGCATCCGAGGCCATCCGAGGCCATCCGACCGAGGCCATCCGAACAAGCTATGCGAGGGCATCCGAGGGCAACCGAGCGAGCTATGCGAGGGAATCCGAGGGCAACCGAGCGAGGGTAGGTCGCCCGGAGTGCATGGCGACTTACAAAAATGTCGCCCGGAGGCCATGGCGACCTATGTGTTGGGACGTGCATGTGCCATGCAACATGTTCATTCTCTCTGTTTGAGCAAGGGTAGGTCGCCCGGAGTGCATGGCGACCTACAAGGTCGCCCGGAAGGCATGGCGACCTACGGCCAACATTGTGGATTTCACCCTATTTGAGCAATTAATTTTGGGAGTGCATTAGCTCGTGAATTAATTTCTTTCAGAACATTATCTCGAAAGTTTTGCCGTCGTAATTCTCTCGTAATCTTTTTTTATATAGTGAAAAATTCTCATTCATTATCTATAATTTTATTCGTTAAAATTTCTCATAAATCTTAATATTTTTTTCTTTTTAATTTATGATCATTTATGTTTGTCGTTACTGTTGTATAACATCACCTACACAACTCAATAAAATGAATACAACTATAAAAAAATACATTATAGTAAGGTCATTGAAACCGTTAATTATTATGCTTAACCAGTTCTATTCTCTCTCCGTCAACGTCCCAGTTTTCCCTCCAAAACGAAGCTGGTCGAGTTTTGTCAGTATTTGGTGAGACAGTAACCAAGAAGTCTCTTAAGCAACCTTTTACTCCAGTTTCATATACAGAGAGAGAGAGTGCTTTTGATGTATAACGAGGCTGTGTTTCGTCAGAAAACACTGAAGGGAGGGGGTGGGGTTTTTTCACCAGTAACGACGGAAGCTAGAGAATAACCATGATGATGATCCTTCTAAATATTTTATGACTCTGACTCTCCTCCTTAATCATCCAATCTGATTATTACTCGTAATCTTTTTCAATCTGAAACGTCCCCCTTCTCCTCTTTAAATAGGAGAACTTATCAACCCTAACTCAGATCTCCTGCTTCTATTCTCTTTTCCTCCTCACCGGTGTTTTCTTTTACTTTCATGGGGATTTCGCAAAGGGCTTCTTACAGAGTTCATTCGCATTCTGTCCACCTCGCATCATAGAACAAGCCTTTTTTTTGTTCCTTCTATGATCTTTCATGGAGGTGGGCATACTGCCAACTGGGCTGTGTTGGCTTCTCTTTGTAAAACCCTTGTCATGCATTTCTTCCCTTGGAAAAGGATCCACTCAACTCACCATGCAGAGACTATGATTATATATCTTCATCCATTTCTATAATTGTTAAGTTTTACTCTTTTGTATGCTATTTTTCCAGTGATGATCCTCTGATCCTTTTGTATGCCATTTTATCTGTTTGGTGCTTTCCCCCCTCTTTTACAGATTAATTTTCTCGTCTTTTCCTTTTAATATTTGAATGCTTTCTTCTGTTTTTGTTTTACAGTTGAGCAATATCTAGGGTTTTACCATCTTTTGTTTGTATGCATCGGAGTCGGTAAAGATCCATGAATTTATATAAAAATATCCCAGTAAACCCTAGCGTAATTATCATCAAAATCCAAAGGACATAGATAAGAAGATTTTGTCAGAGTTTCCATAACACACCCAAATGATGACTTGAAACTTAGCTTTTTCTTTCATTGAGATAGCTTTGCCTGGTTCTGTGTATTGTGTGCAGATATACTCATTTTGAATAAAGTTGTTATTAGATTACTATCAAACTAAGTAATATATTATGTGAATGGCCTCATGCATGATTGCCACCACTTACACCATGCCAGTTACGTATTAAAGCATACTCCCTTATCCAATTATTTTATCATTTTTATATTTTTAAAATATTTCATTTAAAAGATTATTTGGTTAGCTTTTTTAGATAATGTTGTTGATTTTTTTTTAAAAAAATAATGTTGTTTTCAGATTATTTGTTCGGATGATATAAATACTATAGTTACAATGCGAATCGTATTGCATTACTTGCGACTCATGTAGGACCTAGCACTTGCATTTCGTCTTTTACTTACTCTCCTGCCATGCATCCATTTAAAAACTAATTTAAATATCAATTGAAAGTTGAATGGATATACAATGATACTCTCCCGTCCTTTTCTAATTTGCAATGTAAATAACAATTAAATTTTGAGAAAAAAAAAAACATTGGGTGCGGAAGGCGCATTGCAAATTTGAGAAAAAGCTCAAGTGTGTGTGGGAGACGCATTGTAAGTGCTGCGTCTGCGTCTCGAAACAATTGAGTCATAGGGACTACATGACGTCTTCAAGTGATCCTATAACAATTATATTATTCGAGTAAATAATTTTGATTACTATTATTCAAGCAATTTTTTTAGATCATTATCGTAAAAATTTTCGTAATAATCTGTTTTGAATTACTATACGATAGTTTTGGCTTGCTAAAATTATGTGTATAATCGATAAATGATAAAATAATTGAATATCATTGTGGAGGAATAGGTTTACAGTGAATATCGTATATCGGAACACATTATTAATATGACACATTGAAACACATCATTAAATAAGTATTAAAAAATTCAAAGATCATTCCATGATTGATTCATTTTAAGAATTTAATTATAATTATAATATAATTAAATTATCAAGTTTCTTTTATTTAAAAACCAGCAATACAAACTGCAGCATTTTCACTTTAATCATTTAAATATTTTTTCTTTTCACTTTGATCACCGATCTTTTAATTTTATCAATCAGACCACCTAACTATTTAATTATATTCAATCAAATTACTTGTTATTATTTAATAGAAGTACTAATAAAATTAGTATAATTATACATCCTATCAATTTGGTCTAATTTAAATTTAATTCAATAAATTAACATTTCAATCAGAATATGACATGTGTCAACACATGCCTCATTTAGTTGGTCAAATGCACCAACGTCTATTTATTTAATAATAAATTTAATGATATAAAATAAAGAAAAAACATTCAAATGATATTTAAATTTAAATACTTTTATATTTTAAAACAAAACAAAATAAGTTTACAATA